CTGGTGAAAATTTCATGTCATTAGCACCTCTAGTAATATATTTACTGAGAAAAATGGTGACGTGTTCAATACTTATTTTACCCGCTGTACCTCTAGTGTGGGTGTGGTTTGTACTGTAAAACCAGACCAAGTATCATACCACTGCAATGTTTTAACTTTTTACTAATAGTTCCTGTAAAGATGCAACCTTTTAGCTTCCTTTGAAATTTGTCACATTTATTCTATAACAAGCTAATTTTGCACACTTCCTCACAGTTTATACTGATCCTTTTATACATCTGCTCAACACTTGTTTTTCTAAACACACTGACACATAAATGTGATGGTTTAGCTCTCCATCATCAGACTAAATAAATCAATACAAACGGGTTTAAAGTTGTCAAAAAATGCTTTAGCTCTTTTATTTTATTTTTCTTAAAAACCAAAATAAAAAAATCTAAACGATTTCATCTTTAGCTTTCATATTTATTACATTCACACATTTTCTTTCAGCATCACCTGTGAAAACAAACTGATGACGTTGGACAAAAGCAAGAACTACACAGGGTAGTTCCCTAAACATAATAATACATCTTTGATCTAAAGTGTTTGCATGTAAACTGTCCCGCTGGCAGTCCAACCCCACGCCTCTGTAAACCCATTGCAGACTCACAAATGATCCAGTTTCATTTGTTCACAGCTCTTCCACAAATGTTGCAGAGCAGTGCAGTGTCACACAGTGTGACACAGTGCAGCAGGCAGTTCGCCAGTGCCAGTTAGCTTTAGGAGGTGATGGACACCATGTTGTTGGGACTCAGGATCTCGATCCAGTATCCATCAGGGTCCTGAATGAAGGCCAAGCCTTTCATTTTACCTGAGGGGTAAAATGAAACAGCTTTAAACACCAAATGGATAAATCTGCTTCATAAGAAGAAAAAAATTAAAGGCGTAAAAAAACCCCAACAGGTAGAAAACAGCATGTCAGAGATTGTGGGATTAAAGCAGTTTTTTGTTTAGAAATGTAACAGAAATCTGCCAATAAAAAACAATTAAACAAAACAAACAAAAAAAAATACTATTTTCACAATGTTTCACAGAGTCCAAAAACAAAACATTTGTGTGTATGAGAAACTATATTGAATTTGTGCACTTTTTGTTAATTCAGTTATTTATTTTACATTTTAAGGTTTTGAACTGATTAAAAAAATAATCTATGTGCATCAAAAACTATTTACTGTTATAATAAATTCCTAAAAGACTTTAAAACTTGACATTACTATATTTTTGGCCTAAATATTTGTATAAGCTACATTAAAAAAAGCCTGTGTCTCACCATCATCTGGCTTTTTGACGAACGTGACTCCCTGCTCTTCAAACAGTTTACAGGCTCCATAAACATCAGGGACTGCGATCCCAATGTGTCCTGTTGCATCAAAACAAGGAATTGTTTTAAAGGCACATCTTTGTTGGACGTGACATTTTTGTCACACAAACAAAAGACAAGTTTTTACCAAAGCCACGAGGATCAGAGTTTCCATTGTGATAGGACTGGCCCTCATCAGACTCTGAACCCCAGTTACTGAAAGACACGAAGAACAGGAGGAGAGAAATCACTAATCAGGATAAAGATTAACATCCAGAGATCCCTCTAAGACAGCATTCTGGAGCTGTAGGACATTTAAAATCTATGTTAATTACTGCAGATTTATATAATTCAGCTGCTGATCACAAAACACTTCATTAACATACAACGTCATGGAGAAAATATCAAAAAAATAAAATAAAAAAGGTCAGGATTTCTTTCAAATTGACCAGAAAAGAAATTCTTCACGTCTGGTTTGGTCTCTTACTGCGTCAGCTCGAGGGTGGCTCTCCTAGAAAACGTCCAGGCCGTTCTTTCCTTCACATCGGCAGGAATCTCTTTCTTGTCCTCGTAGCCCAAGAAGAAGAGAGAGAAACGCATGGAGGGGAAGTCAATCTTTTGCAGCAGCCTGCAAGATATTGCACATCAGAGAGAAAACGGCTCACAAAATCTGTTTTCTGCTGAGGAACAGATCAAAAACAGAGATTAAAAAAACACTTTATTATCTCAATTTAATAAGATTTCTCCAAGTGTATTGTTTACAAGTGACACTGTTTCTGTGATTTGTGTTTTTCTTCTTTTATTCAACTTTAATGGAAGCCTCCTGATCCTGTTTGTTGGAACGTGACTTCATCTGAAGCCCACAAACACTCACGTCATGCCGAGGATTCTGGTGTAGAAATCCAGAGATTTTACCGGATCTTTCACCCTCAGCATAGTCTGCTGCATCATGAAATCCTGAGACAAACACACACGAAATACCAGCTCTTTACAAACACAAACATGCAGCGTGTACAACCACGTCAGTGAGTCAAACTGTGAATGTTAATCCATGGGTGTGGCAGAAGGTCTGAGCAGCTACAGATCACACGACACGAGTCCATCTGCAGCAACGAGGAGTATTTTCTCCAATCATTGCCAAATGTCTACTATGTACTGTCCATCTCAAGTACAAAGTATGAAAATGCTCATTTAAAATTGGATTATAAAGATGAATAATTCTGATATAAAATTAAAGATGTGCATCTACTAACAGCTCATAAAACATACACACTACCGTAATCCTGAAGGCAATAACATTTCATTAACTCCGATATTAAATAATACTAACCTGCACAAAAAGCTACAGAAACAACATGCAACTGCTATCAGTGTTGAATATAATCTACATTTTTCTCGCTCCTCTCTTGTTCCTGCTCCCAACACTCTGTGTGCCATTTAATTAGCATCTCAGCCACTTTCATCTAAATCAATGGTTCCCAGCAAGTCCTGGTCCTCGAGGTCCTCGAGGGCCATTACCCTGCATTTTTTTAAATGTTTGTTTTAACACACCTGATATGAAAGAAAGAGTGATTAATAGGTTTTCGCAAAGCTTGAAGACCTGCTGAAAACAACTAAAACATGCAGGATGGTGGCCTTCTAGGACCAGGATTGGGAACCCCTGATCTAAATCATATGTGGTCATCGAGGGCAGTAAGAGTCCATGTTATTGGGCAAATGTATTACTGGCAGGCAAAACATGATTGTGTGACACTTGGACTATAATAACGCATGATTTATTGCAGTCCTAGCAGTTCTTTGCAATGTTATATTTAACATTTAGCACACTGAAACTCATATTACAATTAGATTTTTGATATATCTAATCTACAGCTCACAAAACATCTCTTCTTCATATTCAGCTGAAATCATCTTCACATACTGTATAGATGCATCCACTAAAGTTTTAAAGTGGGACGCTCTTGCTTTTTCTTTTTATATTTGTTTTCAAATGAACAGAGACATCAGGTAAAACTGAACCCTAACCTGCTGTAACAACACTGTTTGGTGTTTTAACATCCTGCCTGAAAAACGTGACTTCTTGTTGTCATTTGACTGAATATTGCAGAATAAAATAGTCAAGAATTGTTCTATAGCTTTAAGGAGTGCATCAAATGTCCAAATTCATGTTTTCATACTTATACAAACCTATGTTAAAGAAGGCAAGAGAAGTCTCTGCTTAGTCATTATTAGGGCTGCCACGATTAATCGATTAATCGACGACTAATCGATTATTAAAATAATCGATGACTAATGGTGCGTTCACACCGAACGCGATTTCAGCATCAGGAGCCTCAGGTTTACATACAAAAGATTAGAGCAGCGCGATTTGAACGATCTGAGCGTTCGACGCGCTGAGGCGTAAATCGCTGAAGTTAGAAAATCTGAACTTTT